GATTTTTGAGAAAATTAAAGGATTTTAAGTGTGCCTTATAGTGTGGAAAATACGTTATACAGAAGAAAAGAATATATCGCGATATATATCGTTACCGCACATGCTTCAGATTATATCGCGATATGACTTTTAGGCCATAACGCCCAGCCCTAGTTTCCACTCTGGACTCTGCCTGGACTACTCAAGGATCTTCAGCAGAGTGGTCCCAAATCCACTCCTTTGTTATCTTGGCTGTGTGCTTAGGGTTTGAGGTTCAGAGTGCTCTGGGCCAGTTTGTCATCAAGGATGTCTCTGTACATTGCTGAATTCCTCTTTCCTGCAGCTGTGACTAGTCTCCCAGTTTGTACTGCCTAAAAACATCCCCACAGCATGATACTTCCACCACCATGCTTCACTGTAGGAACAGGTGACGAGTGGTGTCTGGTTTCCTCCACACATGCCACTTGGCATTCAGGCCAAAGATGTTTGTTTCATCAGAGCAGAGAATTTTGTTTCTCATGGTCTTGGAGTCCTTTAGGTATCTTCTGGCAAAATCCAGGTGAGCTTCCATGTGCCTTTTACTGAGGAATAGCTTCCATTTGGCCACTTTGCCATTGTTTGATCAATAGAGTGCTGCAGAAATGATTGTCCCTTTGAAAGGTTGTCCTCTCTCCACAGAGCAATGCTGGAGCTTTGTCAGAGTGACCATCAGGTTCTTGGTCACATCTCTGCCTGTGGCTCCTGATCACTCAGATTGGCTGAGCAGCCAGCTTTGGGAAAAGTTCTGATGATTCCAAACTTCTTCCGTCTACAGATGATAGAGGCCACTTTGACGATTGGGGGACCTTCAGTGCTGTATTAAGTTTTCTATACCCTTACCCACACCTGTGCCTCGATATAATCTCTCAGGGGTCAACAGTCAATTCCTTGGATTTGATGGCTTGGTTTGCACTCTGACATGCTCTGTCAGCTACGGCACCTTATATTGACAAGTCTGAGCATTTTCAAATCATGTCCAATCAACTGAATTTGCCACAGACGGACTCACATGCACATCAAGCACTTGAGCTCAGTTTTGAGTGTCATGTTATAAAGGCTGTCAATGGCTATCTTCTTGTTATATTGTTGTTTTTTATTTTTGATAAATTTGTAAGAAAACCAATACTAGCTTTTTTCACTTTGGTGAGTATTGGGCATAGAATTTAAGGTGAAAATGAATTTAATCCATTTTGGAAGAAGACTGTAACATAACAAAATGTGGAACAAATGAAGCTCTGTGAATACTGTCCAGAAGCACTGTATTATATTTCTAAAGGTATTGTTGATCCACTAAAAGCCATTTCCACATAATATAAAATTCTTGAAGAATTTATGATGTGAAGTGACACCTTTGTCACTTTCATTTGCTTTAATAAATCTTTCATCTACATATGCGTCATATCTGCTTCAAAGAAATGACCTGATAAAGACTTATCAGAGATGATACTTATGGAAGTGCAATATCCCATTAAGACTGCTTCTCTTTCTTATTATGTAGAGAGGAGAATGTGCCAAATAAACATTTCTGTTATCTCCCACCTCCACATGAGCTGTCAATCATAGGTAATATAATTGCACCACTTTAAGGTGCTGTTCAATTATAAAATGGTGATATTGTGTGACTGTATGACTCACTAGATTTTTGCTCAAGCTGTAACCTCTGTGAATCTTTCCTTTAAACCCACATGTCAGTGTTTTACGTATAAATTGCACAATGTCGTCATCAACCGGCTATACCTGAGACCAGAGGATGTTTTCTGTTCTCCTCATTTCTTCAAAGGTTATACCAATTACTGCTTGACTTTACTACCAGCCCAACATGGTACTTGATTTTGATGTCCTCCGGTGATAGTGGATGGTCAGTGCTAAGCTTTTTTTAAATGGCTATTTTAGGTCAGATTATAGTATAAATTGGACCCAGAGAGACACACAGACTCTGACATTCACTTTTTTCTCCTCATCTCGAAGTTTTTGCTCAGACATCTAAAGTATTTTTAATTCTATGAGTTGCTCAAATATGCTGTGAATTGTTTAAACTCATGTTTACCATTATGGTTAATTATAGCTTTTTTTTGTTGTTTTTTTGGTTCATTTGTTTGTTTGTTTGTTTTCAGAGACCTGATTTGGCTGAGAGGTTATAATGCTAAGATACCAGATAAGCTGATTTAGCTTAGTTTCCCGAGTCCATCCACAGACTGGAGTTTGGAACTGTAGCCTCTGGTTTATAGATTTAACTGGTAATTGTGTGACAGTAGGTTTCATGTAATTTTACAGAGTGACAAAAAAGTAATGTAACGAGTAGATTTACTTTCTCCAGAGAGTAATTAAGTAAGTAATTAGCAATGTGTAATACATTACCCAATAATGGTGACCACACTTGAATGCAGAGATTTTAGCATGTTTGCTAACTGGAGTGTTCATGTAAATACGAGCACGATGCCACAGACGTCCCAGCAGTCTGCCTTCATCAGGATGAAATAGGATGAAATGTTAATATTAATATTCTTGTTAATACTTGAAATCTTGATTTACAGCCAGATAGCAAAACAATGCTAATTAGCAAATATTATCATGCTACATACTTAACCTAAGGTAGCAATGTGCTGAAAGTAAACATGATAGCTTTGTCATTCACAGCATGTTAGAACACCTGTTCTTCAAAGGTCACCACCACAACAAACTGCTCTCATACATCTGTTGTGACATGATGGAGGTACTGTAGAGTACTGGATCCCATTTCAGATTTCTATTTAGAGGAGTTTAACCCAGTTGACAGTCATCACTGGCTTTGTAAGACTCTCATGTTTGTATGGGACCACCAAATATCACCACATTACAAATCTTTTTTTCAGTCATACACCTGATAGTTAGCACATCCTTTTTCTGTTGTTTAACAGTGGTCAGCAAAAAAATCAAGTTGTGACATGTTCTCTTTGTATAACTTGACTATGAAGGAGCTTCACAAAGCTGCTAACCTGAATGTAATATAGTTTATTTGTTATAGTAACCCATATTTCAAAAATAAATAAAATCAGCCTTTGTTGACATCTTGACGTCGATTGCAGCCACATTACTCAGTGACTAGCTAAGTAGCCTATTCCTAGATCAATACTCATTAACCCATATTTTTCCCAGGCTGAGGTCTATCCAGGAACAGTGTCAGTGCCAATGAAAATCAATGAGAGCCAGAGAGATGAGTGTGTGACCTAAATATTCCTGCAGACTAAAGGTTTCATGTTCAGTGTGCAAACTGTATAATACACATGTAGTCTGTCAGTTACATCTTATTCATGTTACAGTTTTTATAGCAAAGTACTAATACTTTTACTTCTTCCTCAACCGTGAGCTGAGGAGCAAGTTGTTGTTTTTCTTTTACATTTAAATTTATTCTTTTTTTAAAAGAAACGCTAACTTTTAGGACTACACAGGGTTGTCCAAGCTTATGCCAAAGAAGGATTAGCACGTCTGCAGCCTGCTTCGTACACAGAGCACATATGGAATCGCTCACACTGACTGTGCACATTCATATTCATAAACAATACTTCCAGTGAGACTTAGCTAACAGCATGTCAAGCGAGACTTACAGATGGACTGAATATAAAATGCTGCGATTATTCAAATATAGCATTCATTTATTCAGACATTTAACTCACAGCAAACTGACAACTGCTGTCTCATTGAATCGTATGCTTCAGAGATCACCATTGTTTCATATAAATCCTCTAACATTCTGTCTCAGAATAGGAAGCCAGACAGCTAAAAGGTCATGAACTACTAATAAGAAATATCCTGCTTCTTTTTCTAGAGCAGTTTCAATCACAAAAATGGGATGAATATAACACTGCGTCATACCAATAAATGGCGATGATGTTCCAGTGTGGCATGAGGAGTTTTGGGGGGGTTTGTTTGTAATTATGAGAGTTTGTTATATGGGTCAGTGTTAAATAGAAATTTACACAAGGTCTACTGACTCACCATGTCAGATTGGTCTGTCGCAATCAGTGGGCCTCACAGAAGCCAGTGTCGTGCGTCAAATTTGAAGCTGGGGAAAGATGTGAATCAAATATAATCCCAGTTATTACTAAACTGACACAGAAATTTAAAGTCACGGGAGAGCTGTTGTTGCTCTCATCTTCTTCCATTAAGCATACAACATAAACCTTACTGGGTTACTACTATTAATCACTAACATACAACACATGTAATGTGGCTATGCCCCACATCCATATTTTCCCTTATAGGAGAGTACAAAAAATTTACATTTTCACTCAAACTTAATTTGTTTCTCCTTTCATGTAAATCCTACTGCTAAGATGAGTGATTGAAAAAGAAAAACAACTATTTTTATAGAGAAAAAAAATTAAGATTTCTAAAGGGAACATTTATTTTATTTTATTTTATTTTATTAGTATTTTTCTCAAATGTGTCAAATATATATTGTGAGTGTTTTGTTCATGATTTGCACATCACTGGATCACTCGAGTGTCTGTTTGTGCTGCCAACCTAACTAAACAATTTTGCTGCCTTCATCTTCATCTTTTTGTGATAAACATGTTTTCTGACGGTGTTGGCCTCTTTCAGCAGTCTTATCACTTCAGACGTGCTTCTCCAGTCCCAGTATTAATTGGGGTTTGCTATTAGACCACACTTTGATATGCAGACTGGAGATGCTAGGAATCGCTGGCTGACTTAATGATTAGTGAATAACAGACTCTACCTACCCTTATATTTTGGAGAAAGGCAAAACAGCCTTTTTTGGAAAAATTTAAATAATTTTTGCTGCATGTTTGATGTATAATTACTCTCTTTGTTTCTGATCGCCAAGACTTGAAATCAATTTAATAGCAACAGAAATTACATATTCTGATTGCACAGGGTTAGAATTGGGGTTAAGGTTATATTGACACTGACAAGGTGCCAAGACTGCACCCAGCAACTGGGGTGGCTGTAGCTCAGTCATCTACTGATCGGAAGGTTGGTGGTTCAATTCCTGGCTTCCCCTAGTCTGCATGCCAAATATCCTTGGGCAAGATATTAACCCCAAATTGCTCTCCAATGCATCCATCGGAGTATGAATGTGTGTGAATGTTACTCAGAAAGCACTTAGAACAATGTGCTTGTGCGAATGGGTGTATAAAGCGCTTTGAGTGCTCAGAAGAGTAGAAAAGCGCTATATAAGAACCAGTCCATTTACCATTTACCATAACTAGTGAAACATGTGCATCTCCCAACTAGGTGAGTGGTTGCTGGAGGTTGCTGCCAGTCGCTGTCAAACTGATTACTAAAACCTTTGTCAAGTAGACCTAAAGACTGGTTATTGACCCTAGCACACTGAGGGAAAAGTGTGTCTTCTGTGGACTCTGAGGTTGCTGGAAGTGTCACGAGTGTAAAGTTGGTTACAGAGATTTAAATCGTGCTACATCAAAACCATCCCTGCCGATAGCTAGCAGTTTTCAGCATTTGTCAGTAGTTTGCAAGAAAGATGCCAACTTGTCTTCAAGTACAAACTTCTCACCAAGTGGTGGGGGAATTGTAAAAAGTGCAACACATTCAAGAAACCTTTCACCTTCAAAGTAAAAGTTGTGCATTTTAAAATGTTGGCTACAGAAGTAAGGCACAAGTTTTACTCAAAAGTCATTTTACATAAACATTCTTCATTTTCTGTTTGGGTTGCACTTTTTCAAGTTTCACTACAGCTCAGAGAGCAAGTAGTGAGTGTTTGCAGACAAGTTGGCATCTTCCATGCAAACTTTGGGCGACCAAACTAATCTTTTAGCAATCAAAGCAATCACAGGGAGCTTTTTGGTGTGTGCCTTCTCACCAATCTCACCTTTGGACTGCCAGCAACTACTAAAAAAAACATTTGGGAAATAAACATTTTACCTTAGTAGCTGGAGATTGCCAGAGGTCACAAACCGGTCTAGGTCTGTGTGACTGAGACTCTAAACTTCAGA